TATTGTGGTAAGTAACGTAACTAAATTTATTTCTAAACTAAAAATAAAATTTTAAAATTTTTAAAATTATTTCACATGAAAAAAAAAAAACGACTAATAATTTTTCCAATAAGAAATTCGTTTTTAGGATGGTATGTATGTGTATCTAATTCATTACTTTAAAAATGTTCTTATTTGACACTCTTTTCATAGTCAGTTTCTGTAAAAATAACCTTGAATGTAATAGCAAAATGCATATTTAATTTTTTTAGGAGGAAACAGTTTTCTATGATAATTTCTTTTTCACATGGCCATTGTGAAATGCTGTTATCCTATGTAAAGCATAGCATTAGAAATCTTATTTGAAAATTATTACAGTCTGCATTATATCACTTTGTAAGAATTTCTCTTTGCTTCTCTACCTTTAATTTTATAGCACCCCTCTGTTGACAAAAAAAATATATATTTTTTATTAAACTTGTGACATAAGAATAATATAAGGAATATTTACTTTTTCACAAAGTTAACAAATATTTTTAAAATGGAACCATTTTTATTCTTAAAAAGTAATAAATCACTTTTAGAAGAAATTACACAGAGAAATATCACTAGAAAGGTGTCAAATGTTTTTTTGTAAGAGTTGGGTACCTTAATTTTCATTTGAAGAGTTATCACACAACAGATACCTATGTTGGTGACACAAGAGAACCACACACCTCTGAACTATAGCACCTGTACACACTTTCTTGGGATAAAACTATTACATAAAGCCAATATTAAAGAATCAAGTAATATAATGTGCACACTGCATTGCAAGAAAGTTTGGTCACATTATGATTTTCTTGTTAGGTTAATGTAAAATGTTTTGATATGTTATGGGATAAACCTAAAAAGTACTGTCCTGTATTCTAAATAACTGAATGTAGTCACAATAGCATTCTCACTACATTTTTTTTGTTGTTTGCCCATCATATTCAATGATGACAGCCTGATATGCATGGTAAGCTCTTCTTCTGATGGCTTATTAATCCAAGTTGGTTATTATTGACATATACCATCACATCCTAAACAAAGTAGTCCAGATGTAGCTGAATGCCGTGCAGGGTTTGTACAGGCTCTGAAAATCATGAAATTTCGTTTTCAAGGCCTTAATTTTTGAGATTTTGTTACATATAGGATTATAAGTTTGTTAACTTACTTTGCCTTTTTGCACAAAAACAAGTAATGTTTTGAAGCAGCTTGTTGTTTTGATCATATGCAATTTGTATTTAAGTATAAGTTGCTTAAATAGCACAATGAACCAATCAAAAATAATGACTGAAGTAGTTCTGACTACTTTTCATATTATATGATCTTGCCTGCATGGAAACGTAATGAGAGACAATGAATTTTTTTATAAATAACTATTTAGAAAATATATTAAATGTTTTCTAAAATATAGGTTCATAAATAATGAAATATTGACAACTATAACCAAAAACCAAATTCATATTTTATAGTAAATTAAACATGCTTTTTTGATAAGTATTTTTTGGAATTTGTATAACATGTTAAATATTTCATTGAAGCTGACTCTTAGAAAAAAAAAGCTAAGTGTAACTGAAAAGAGGTGAAATTTTACCATTGTTCATAGAGTTCAAATTCTCCTAGAACAACTTGTATGTGAAAATGTCTGGCACTTGTAAATTTCAAGATGTGTAACTGATACATGACAATTATAAAAACTGAAATGAGCATTTAAGATCATTAATTAGAGAATCTTGATGTTGTTTGTGTCATAAAACAATGGATGTTTCTAATGTGGTTGAGGCCACTCTAAAAAAGTCATGTCATCTGAAAAAAATGTTAAAGTGGTGAACCAATGCTCATTAATGAAAAATCTTTGCTGGTCCATGTTTGTGTAAAAATTCCAGTTTAGGTGAGTATAATAAAAGGTTTTCAAATTTTTTAGCCATCTTAACATGCTGAAGCTCATTAAAAATAAATAATAAATTAACAAAGTAGTTGGTTCATATATTTCAACCCCTTCAAAAACAATAAATCTAATTTTGTACTTCCAGTATTATTTTCGAGTAAACATAACAACTACTAAATGTTAAAAAAATACAAACAATGGAAGGAGTTGCTGTAAGGAGAAAGAATTAAATAATTAGATGGTCAATGTTGGCCAGACAATCTTCATTGAGGATCCTTTAAAGAAAACAAAAGCTGTGGAATGTTATGAAAAACCTTCTCTTTCTTCTGTCTAATGTCCAAGCCAGTGTTGAAAGTGACTTTTCTTTCAACCAATAAATCATAGTTGAAAACTAGTATGAAAGTTCTTGAACAATGTATTATGATTGACTATGGGAAAAATGTGGGCCTTCATGAGGTTAAAGTTATTAAAAGCTGTGCTGTCATTTGTAGTTCAAGACAGACAGAGATATCATATATATCTATAAGAACAGAGGAAATTAAAGAAGTATGTAAAGACAAAATATCCAGGGTTGTTCAAGCTGAGTTGAAAAAGATTCCTGACTGAATCAAAATTGGAGGAGGCCAATCATCTTTCTGAAGAGACCAAAATCTAACAAGATCATGCTCATTATGAAATCAAATGCATTGAGAAAAGTTTCAAAAGAAAAGAAATGTGACATTGAAACTGCTATTAGTAAGATGGAAGCTCAAATAAAAAAAGTTACAGGAACATTCAAATTGAACTACAAAGTTGCATATTTACTCAGTTGAACATCAAGTTTTGTCATTGTTATTCATATATTTGTACAAAATGGTTAAGAACTATGATAAAAAATGTCCTAGGAAAAATAACGTTTTAGTCACTGAAAATGAACAAAAGTTTTGAAGTTATTATCCTGTTTGGTAGATGAACCTTTTTAAATTTATGAAATAATGGTTTTTCAATTTCTGAGTACATACTCGTTAAATTGTGAATCTTCATGAACTGTTCAAAGTGCACTTTCTTTCTGATTCTAAAGCCTCTTAATGTAACTCGCATTACAAAATAACATTTGAGAGAGACATTTAGCCTCACATTTTTCAGTTGTTCCTGTAACATGTAGGCCTAATTGTCAAGCATAACTCACACAGTAATGCCTATTAACTTAACTTGTAATACATAATTATAAATGTGATCCAACCATATTTAAATAACAGGGTTTTCTAGTATATTCTAAGATTGTTGAAAATAAACAATAATTTGTGATGTTGCTGTATACCAGTATTAATAATATAAATACATCTGAAGATTCTTGTTTGCAGTGATATTGTAACTTCTATTTTAACAATATTGTGTTTTTGTTGCTCTGTTTAATGTAGTTTCTAGCAAAATATGGTATTTTGATTTCACATAGTTATGCTACCATGATGTTTATTTCTTAGGTAAGAGAGATGTTCATGTGAACGATCCCCTAAGCGGATTAAGAAATGCAAACTGTAGTGATACTTACTGGATACTGTATTAATGCACCAAGGCTAAATATGGACAGTTTCAAATCCTATATTGATCAATATAAGAGTAATATATGATTATAATGAATATAATATTTTAGATTTTTTAACTTGTTTTTGAAGTTTTTCATTTTGTTTCTAGTAAGTATTTTAAAATTATTATTTTTTATATGTATTTTACTAACTTGTCTATAATTTATGTTCATTGATTATTTATCTTATAGTCATATATAACCAGTGTATCTGAATCGGTACGATATCCTGAAACATTACTTACTGTCCTGGCCTCGGATAGAGACACCAAAAAGTCTTACAGGACCATTCGTTACTCACTTTCTGGTGATGGAAGTAGTGTGTTTACAATCGATCAAATTTCTGTAAGTTGATTTTATTTAAGCACTAAGGAAATACTATGCTTTTATCATAATCAGTATGATGTGTGTTATCCCAAGAGATATGAACAATTTAAAAATCACAGTGTTTGCTCTCTCTTAACAAAGAAATTAGCATTCCTCTGAACTAGGCTAAAGGATTAAACAACTTTTGAAATGCTGAAACTAGTTGATTACCACACTCTGTCTCTTTCTCACAAAGGCTAGTCCTTGGGCAGAACAAACTTAAAAGTGTGAGTTCTTAAATTAGGCATATTGTTTTTTTCTGTAATATTTTAGATGTTCTTTTTAGTTACTCAAATATTAGATCCTACGTGATGTTTCATAAGTTTTCGTTTTGCGTACCAATAGGTAAAGACTATATCACAAAGACTGAAAGAAAATTTATGGATTATATAAATATTTGATCTATATTGATATTGGATTATAAATATAAATAGCAGTTATTAATTCTTAGATATAATTGTTAATTTTAGTTCATTAAAAGTTAAGTATATCAAGAATATATTTGGTGAGTAGTCTGTATATGATAAAATTTTTACATTTTGTTTGTAAATGATTAGAAGTTGTTTGATTTCCAGGACTCCTAAAATACACAAAGCTACATAGATATAAAAAGTTAAAATGTTCTCAGTCAGTTAGTGTTTATTGTTTGTAATAAAGTGATATAACTAAGTGTGTGTGTGTGTGTGTTAAAATATCTGTTATATTGACAAAGTTTCTTGGAGCTGAAAAAGAATTTTATATACTTTATTTTATTATAGATTTGCAAAATTTTGGTTTGTATCAATTTGTAACATTGCAAGTATTTTTTCTTTATGTATCTGAAAATTATAGCTGGACAGTAATTATAAAATTCTAAATTATCCATAAAATGCAGTGCATATTACCATAAAAGTTAGAATATGACAATGTTTTCATACAGTCTACTAAAAGGATGACTTATGATTTAATAACAGGTTATTTAATAGTGATTCCTTAGTGTCAAGTTAAAATTTGGCAGAGAGTATAAACACAAAAATGACTTACGATATAAAAGTTTCTGTTAAAACCTTGTTTCATGTTTCTTTTCAATTAGGTCTCTACAGAGAGACTACTGTTTTTCTGGTGTTTCTCTTCTTTCTTTCTTCTTCTTCCAAACACTTTTCAATTGATTACTATTCCTTCATTTCTTAGCAGATTGACTTGAAACTGGCTAGGGTTATACCTTGGTTAAATATGCCTAAACACTTTTTCACTTTTTGTTTTAGGCCTTTTTAAACATTTAATGGAGTCAAAGGTCAAACAGCTTCAGAATGTATATTTTGGGCTCCTATGTGGTCATATATACAGCAGTCAAGATGAAAATTGGCACAAAAATACATTTGAGTTACCCATTTTGAGTCGTTGTATGGGGTTAGAGCTTGCAAAGATATAATTTTGGGTTTTTTATCAATTACTCAGGTGTATTTTGGCTAATTTACATGGTATTTTGTACAAAGATACTTTTTCACAAGTTCCACACATTGACAAACTAAAGTAGTGGACTTACCCATTTTTAGTAATTATGGGGGTCAAGATGACACAAAAAGTATAATTTTAGTTGTTTTTTTGACAATTACTCTGCCAAATTTTGGCCAATTTATATGGGATTTGGTACAAAGATACCTTCTTGCTTGTCCCAAGCAGTGATATAGACAGTTTTTGATTTTCTGTGTTTTTCATAATTTTTTTTTATGTCAAAATTGGCCAGATGGTGGGATTGCATGGAAGAGACATGTTGCATTTGCCTGCAAATGTTGGCCTCTTTAATTTGATAATTATTTTTAGTCCCGTATAAACTTTTAGTTTGTTTTTACTAGAAAATTTAAGTTAAAGTTATTCTGGTTCATTGGAAATCTGTAATATGAAGTATGGTATCAGTCACTAATCTGAAACAGAGGCTTTTTTTTTAGAATACCTTATGTAGGATGAGCAAAAGTAAATATTACTATAAAATTTCTTACTCTTCAGGGAAACCTTCAAGTGAGAGAAGGGATGGAGCTTGATAGAGAAAATCAGTCTGTGTATAACCTTCAGGTAACTGCTACAGATAATCCAGAAGAAGGATCCAATCAGCGAAGGACTTCTGTTTTGGTACCGAAAGTTTTTGTTTTTTAGTAATATACATATTTGACAAGTTAACTTACAGCTTACCTCATTCAAATAACAGGCACAAGTATGTGCGGCTTTTATGGAAACTTATTTTTTGTGTAACATACAGAAGCATGTGAATGATGAGAAATTAAAATATTTTATGAGTTAAGTTTTAATATCTCGTATATTTCATAATCCTACAATAGTACCTATTAAAATGACAGCTACTATAAGGAGAGAGAATAAAAAGTTCCTTTCATATATTAATAGTAGTGACACTGTATTTACACATGTCAGCTGTTCTCTTTTAGCAATCCGGTAACAACAGATAATATAAACTTGAAACAATTATTAGTATTTACATAATCTTTATTCAGATTTCTGTTATTTATATGCTTGTTAAATCAAAATCACTGTTAGAGACAACTTATAAAATAAAAATGATATTTGAGGTATAAAAAGATAGAATTTTTATGTTCATCTCGTGTACTCCGTGCTGAAAGGTTGACAGTTTTTCAATACATGCATAGTATGAAAAGCAACAAGTTCATTAAGATAGTACCCAACACTGGTGCCATTTCAATCTTCCTGTTAAGACCTTTTTTTTGCAGCCTTGGCATGGAGTCTAAACATTTTCAATGTCAAACATGAAATTAATTACTGTTGATAAATAGTATTCCTGTACCCACTTCCTCAAATTTCTTATAAACAAAGAATACAAATATGATTTGCTTACTACAGGTGATCATTAATCTTTTGGATGAGAATGACAATCCTCCTATGTTTAGTCAACTTGTATACACAACAGTAGTACCAGAAAATGTACCAACAGACTTCAGCATTGCTACAATTCAAGCCAAAGATCCAGATCATGGAAAAAATGGAGAAGTGGTGTATTCCATAGTGAAAGACACTCCATTGACCACAGCTGGTAAGTTTCACAGTTTTTTGTTAGTTTTTTTTGTTCTTTTTTGTGAATGTTGGAGTAATGTTGCCAAGAGTGCAAAATAGAGTAAATCACAATTTCTTTCATATATTTTACATATCCTTTATATCATCATGTGTTTTGGTACCTTCTGACTGTATCTTTAGAATGTGAAATATCAAACCACACAATCGTGTCAAATTTTTCAAAGAGTGGAGATGGCCTAGTGGTTAGCTTTCCTGATTAGAGATTTGAGATTCCTTGGTTTATGTTCCCCTTTTACAAACTCATTCTCAACACTTTGGAATAGTTTGTGGGTTATGAAAGTTATTGTTAAATTGAACTGTTTTATTACAGGAGCCTAACTGTTGTCAGTGGATGCTGTTGACTAGCTGCCTTTCCTCAAGTGTACCATTTAAAAAGTAGGGAAAGCTAGTGCAGATAATCATTGTGTAGATTTGTGCAAATTTCTATAGCAAATAGATTTATCAATCTTTTATGCTATGTTGCTCTACAGTTTATCTCTTTCTACAGACATACCTGTATGCTGAATTTGAAAATGATATCCATTTTTCTCTATCACATACAGATTTTTCACAAAACATCATATGTACTTTTACACAAGTGAATCGTTTTCATTGAAATTGGGTCACATTTTATTATGCTTAAAATGTTGACAACTACTGGCTATATATTTCTCTAGACCAAGCACAATGTGAAAGAACCCACAAGAAACTCACCACTAGTATATAAACAGTTAACAGCTTGCATGACGTGTCATTTCTGGATAGTATTTGTTTGTGTGTGCACTTTGACATTATTTTTTCTTTTCAATATTATTTAATTGTTGCTATCGCAACAAGAGGTTGTGTAAATAATCCAAACATATTCTGTTATATTTGTGGTAAATTTATTGTAAAGAAACAAAGACAAAACATTACAGAATTTGTCAAAAAAGCATATTACTCATATTTTGGAATAAAACATGGGCTCTGCACAATGTTTATACCATTTGTGTTTAAGAGTTGAGACAGTGCACTAAAGATAAAGCAAAAGCCTTTGCCTTTTGGAATTCCAACAGTTTGGTGTGAGCCTAGAAACCGCAGAAATGACTGCTATTTTTGCTCATGTAATGTGCAAGGCTACAACACTCGAAATAAAAAGGAAATTTCTTATCCAAACCTTCAATCTGCTATAAGACCTGTTGCTTATGGTCCTGATGTACCTGTTCCTACTCGACA